ACCGAAATAAAGCTTTTCTCGCGAAAATAAGATTTATTTTTGAAATAGTGCATTTATCTGATTAAATCATTACAGTATGTTAATTATTTATTAAAATAATGCATTCTTTTTATGATTGCACAGCAAAATAAAATTTCAGAACAAAACAAATATCTTTAAACCACAGGGGTCCCCACACGGTGTTTGGATGGTAAATACTGCTCAGGGGCGGATACAGAACATGGTTTCCTGGGGGGGCTGACATATGGGTGGAAGAATTTGACAAACATAATGCAACAGGTGAAAATTGAAGATTGGGGCTAGCATCTTGTTCATGTGAAAAAAAGATGTGTTTTATAGCTCATCTTATGAGTGGCAATGTACTTTTCTGTTATATATGAGTAAACTAATGTTTTTTCTTGTAAATATTTAGATGATATGGAATTAATAAAAATATATGTAACTGGGGTGGGCCTGCGTGGGGTGTCCCCTCATATAAACTGAGAAAATTTTGAAAAATATAGGTTGAAAATGGTGTTATTTCCTTGAACATCATCGTGTGTTAAACTTAACGGTATGCTAACAGACTGGTTCCCAACTGTGTCAGGTGTCCGACAGGGAGACAGCAGTTCTCCGACAATTTTCGCATACTTCATAAATGATCTTGTTGAAGGCTTAAATCGTCTTAACAAAGGTGTTAAGTTTAATGATGATATTATATGCTGTTTATTATATGCTGACGATATTTTATTATTATCAGAAAATGAAAGAGATATGCAGGATATGTTAAACTATATAAATGATTGGTGCAGAAAATGGCGACTAAAAATTAATGAGTCGAAATCGAATGTTATTAATTTTAGATGCAAAGGAAAAAGTCAAAGTAATTTTACATTTCACATAGGTGCTTCGGATATTATGTATACATCTACTTATAAGTATTTGGGTGTTTTGATGCATGAACATTTAGATTTTTCGTACTCTGCTGATATTCTTTGTAAATCAGGTGGTCGAGCACTAGGTGCAATTATAATTATCTAAAATTCAGAATCATAAAGATATTGGCTTTAAAACATATACAAAAATGTATTACTCTTGTGTTGTGCCTGTAACTGATTATTGTTCTTCAATATGGGGTTTCAAAAACTACAAGAAACTAGATATTACTCAGCATAGAGCAATTAGATATTTTATGGGTGTACATAGATTTGCTCCGATACTAGCAATTACTGGTGATATGGGGTGGATTTGTGCTCAGCATAGACGTTGGGTTAATGTACTGATACTATGGAATAGACTTGTACATATGGGTGATGATAGACTCACAAAGAAAGTGTTTTTGTATGATTATACTACTGTTGGAAATACATGGTGTTCAGATGTTAAGCATATTCTACAACAAGTAAATATGTCACATTTGTATGACAACAAACTTCCGGTTGATTTAAAGAATATTGAAGACTCTTTACTTTTACTATACAAATCAAATTGGTCTGACAATGTTACAAAATGTGGCAAAGCTGAGAACATATGTTACATTCAAACAAGATTATGAAACAGAAAAATATCTCATGTCTTCCTTAACTAAAGCAGAAAGGTCCCATTTAGCTCAATTAAGATGCGGTATTCTTCCGCTCAAACTAGAAACAGGACGATACGTGGGATTACGTGTTGATGAAAGAATATGCACTCTTTGTACTGACAATGTTGTTGAGGATGAAACTCACTTTATATTGAAATGCTCTAGATACAACGATTTACGTGTTAATTTGATTTCTAAATGTAAAGAGAGTAGCAGTGACTTTGACAATATGTCTGATATTCAAAAACTAAGTTATGTGATACAAAATCAATATGTTAGCGCTGCAAAGTTTATTGTAGAAAGTATGAAAAGAAGAAGGTTATATCTTTATAAATGACCAAATGACCTGATGTTTTACATAAAAAAATTTACTTGAGTGTATTGAATCATGTTAAAATATCACCAGACATATTTGAAAATAACAAGAAATATAATAACATCTTAACATTGTTTAGAATTTATAGCTTTTGAAATTTTGATATGCTTTGCTTGTTTATATGGAATTTTGATGATTGACCACTGTATTTCCGATTATTTTTTCTATGCTTTACATGTTTTATTGTAAATCATTTATATGAATTGTATATAGTTTAAAGTGACTTATAGGCCCAACGTGGCCGGGTGTTGTAATTTGTTATATGTATGTTTATTATATTGTACATAACACAATGTCACTATAATAAAATTTACTTACTTACTTACTTACTTACTCCTTGACTTTCTAGTTCTGTTTATGGTACCTTTAATTTCGGATGGTTTTACAAAACACTGTATTTTGTATAGGTTAGTGTTTGTAGAGTCTTTCAAAAAGAATTCCCCTCGTGTTTTATTTTTGAGTAGTGAGCATTTACAAAATAACAGCACACTTACCAATGTATGCACAACTGTTTTAAAAAATAAGTTCAAACACTTGATCAATTTACTCATCTAAATAATAGACGATTTTCCAAAGTAAAGAGATATTAAAATACTGCCTTCCTTATGTACAAAAAAAATAATTTCAAACAAGTTTCAAACACTAGTATTCAATAAGAATTTTTTCCATCAATGAATCCATTTTAGATACTAAACAGGTCAGTACAATTTAAATTTCATTTAAAAATATAAGTGCCATAAAAAGTTATTCAAAGCTAATGACCAATTATTTCATCTTAATAAAACTAGTTATTAAAACGCGATTCCTTCAATATTATCTTTATAAAACTCGCCATCCTTTTAATTTACAAATAATAATTTTCAATTTCTTAAGGAAATGGTAAGACAAAGATAGTGAACTATGGTGTACAATGTAACCACGGATTTATATTACATATAAATCCGTGATGTAACACATCTATATTTGCCACTATCTATTAGACCTTTGAAAAGCAATAAACCAATCAATTATGCAGTTGAAACATTGAAGTTATTCAAGCATGTTGATAGATAAAGATCTTTGCCAAGCCCCCAGGCAGGAGATTAACAACTGTGAGACAGCAATTAATGTTTTGATAAGGGAGTACACTACAACCAATAAAGTTTGAAACTGACAAAAATATATTCCAGCCCAGCTGGTAAACGTATCTTTGGACCAACGAGGGGGGGGGGGGGCTGCAGCCCTGAAGCCCGGGCCTGAATCCGCCACTGCTGCTTGATGGTGACCTTAAAATGAGATTTGAGTCATAACCTTATAATATGTATATAAATATAGTCAAGTTTCAAGTTTTTTATTTCAACTAGGCCCATATGAGCATCAGTTTTATAAACAGTAAAATTTCACAAACAAATTAGTATTAACAAAAAAATAATACAGATGTGTAAATAAAGCTTAAGACAAAATAATTTGCATGATAAATACAAAAAATAAGACTAGAGATACTTATGAATGACTTTACAAATGAGTGACTAGAATGAGACATAATGCAACCGCACAATGAAAGTTCCTGACCAAAGACGCAAATGAAGTGATGCAGCGACATGGTGTAACCACAACATGGAGCCCATGAAGCCCCACGTAGCAACCACACCACGCCGGTACAATTAGTTCCACAAAAATTAAATAGAAAGTGTCACAATGCGATTACAAATGTCATGAGACCTTAAAGATGAAAAAATAATAAAAAATTTAATAAAATACATAAAAATAGATAAAGTAAATAATGAAAATCAAGACAATACTTGGCAATAGATACTGACTAGAAGGTGGTAAACATTATTTCACAATAGACAATTATTCAGTATTTTGAAATAATTGCTGTAAATTAAACATGTTACCTCTTCGTAAATTAATGGGCAAGTACTTTCTACGATAAATGTTAAAATAAGGACACTGAAAAATATAATGAAACTCACCACCTAATAGGCTAATAAACTATATACATATTATAAAGTTATGACTAAAATCTCATTTTAAGGTCACCATCCAGCAGTATTTACCATCCAAACACCGTGTGGGGCCCCTGTGCTTTAAACAGGGCAAATCATAGTTTTTTATACACAATAGTAGATTCGTATACATACCTGTTGTAAAATAACAAAGTAATGTAAATACCAAAAATGTGTTTGCTAAAAGAAATCAGTTTACAGGTTAGTAAATTTTGATTTAGTGGTGTTCAAACATTACTTAGATAATTTCACGATGAATAAGTTTTATGGCACAGTCTAATGGAGTATGCGTTCTTGACAACGAAAATAATTTTGAATTTTCTGCAAAGTTAGTAAGTATTCAGTATGTCTCCGTGACATTTTAACAACATTGATATAAATATTGATGATATAATAAATCTAAGAACTCGGAAATTGGTTTCGCAAGTGATTTTGACATCTGAGTTGTATTATCCGGATGCTTTGATTTCGGATAACAGTCGCAATAAGCATAAAATAACATAAACCTGTTTGTCATTCCATTTATTATACTTTCTGTCTGGTGTGAATGAATGTTTCTATATTTTCATTTTTACATCATGTATGGTTTGAGTCAGAAATATAAATTTTAGGTATAGAAATTGAATGTAGATATATGCTTGATGCAACGATAATGGTGATAAACTGGCAGTAGTAGCTAGGACTTTGCATGTTTGTTCACTTTACATGCATTTTTCTGAAAATGCGAATTTGACCAATGTAAAAAATAGCTTGAAATCCGTAGTATATGGCGAAATATTTTGCACTACCATTGACACGTATTTTTGTTGATTTAACATTTAAGTTTCAAGCTACCATTTGTAACTTAATTTGAAATTAGGCAAAGCCTTTGAACGGGGAAGTCGTTAAAAAAACCTTTCATTTTTTTCCGTTTTAAAGGTGTCACTCAGTATTTCATGCACCACTTCCGTTTTCACTCGGAACACTCGACGTTTATTATTTATCCGAAAAGTTGAGATTTATGTTCCGTTATCGGAATACACCATCTTTTATCATTGACTTATATTGTAAATGGCGGCGCCTAACTAGAACTAACACTGAAAATTAAATTAATAAGTATAGAATTCTATATATTTTTTAATTGCTTTTTATTTGATTTTCTTTTAAATATACACATGTAGTCTATAGCCGGGCAAGCCAAAGCCTGGGCCCTCTTTGCAGGCCCTGACTTTGACTTCCCTGTAATAATAAATGAAGGCTAAAAATATCAACAACATATGTAAAAACTATGACAAAGTTTGAAACAAAAGAAATCATGTACAGATGTTCACATATCACACAGCACTTGTCAATAAATTTAATCCTTGCCTCTGGGCAAAATTGGCAATGCACAGTTACTGTCATGATTGACTGCAATTTACACATTTATGTGACATGTAATGCAGCTCTGTTGAACATTGTGCCCCTGAATTTCACTGATGTAAATATCTTATAACTTATTAAGCATAAATTATAAAAGGAAGACGGACAAAACCCCACCAGTTAAAACCCCACCACTCAAAATTTTATAGAGTGGACAAAACCCCACCACTAAATTTTATAGAGTGGACAAAACCCCATCACTAAATTTTACAGAGTGGACAAAACCCCACCACTTACCAATTATTGGGCAAGATTTGATGAATTAAGATATATATAATATACAGTACACATTTTCACATTTTATTTTTTAATTTCAATTTAACATTTGTGTAATATAAGAGATTATACAAATAATTTACAAACTGTTAAATCAACATCAAAGAGTAGTCATTTATTTGAGACTGTGCCACATTTATGACCTTGAATTATCCATTATTTTTAGTTTCTTCAAATTCATTTCTTCAATTTATTTATATAAAAAATAAACTACTTACTATTAATCAAGCATGTAGCACATTTTCATCAATTAATGATTAAAAAAATAGCACATTTTTATAGCACATTTCTAATTTATTCAGTTCAGTCAATTTTCCTTCATTGTACTTCATTGTACTTAGTTTAAGTGTATACTGTGGCTGATAGCCTGAAGAAACTCGGGTACAGGTCTTCTCCTTATTGATGAGTTGTTCACACATTCTTTTGAGTTTCTGCTGATGCACAATTATTTGTTTTTTAACATGTTTACAAGAAAGTTTTGTCCACTCTATAAAACTGAAGTGGTGGGGTTTTGTCCACTCTGTAAAATTAAGTGGTGGGGTTTTGTCCACTCTATAAAATTTAGTGGTGGGGTTTTGTCCACTCTATAAAATTATGAGTGGTGGGGTTTTAACTGGTGGGGTTTTGTCCTACATTCCTTATAAAACATCTGCCAATTTTTATTATCAGCAAGTTTAAAAAATTAACACACTAAATTGGTGTTACCATATTTGACAGTTAAACTACATGCAATGTTACATCAACCATGTAATTTTTTATGCTCATAAATTAATACACATCAGGAGCACAGGTGAATGGCTGAGTACAGTTATGTTTGCATCTCTAGTTAAAAGTCGGTGGCATCTTTACTGTACTTTGAATACCAATCAGTAATGTTCTTTATTTGTTTTAATTTTAGTTTGACACATGTAAACTTCAGAAAACAATTTTGGTAATCCCACACCATATTTTCTTTCTTAACAGATTTTAATTATTGATAAACAAAGATGACTTCACCTTTGATGGACCCCAAAATTGCTGCCATCATGGCAAAATTTACAGGGGCAGAGGAAAAACCAAAGGAAGAAAAACCTAAAGAAAAAGAGGAACGGATTAAACCACCAACAAACCTTGAAGAATTTATGAAAGCTGAAAAACTTGTAAGGGACAAATGATTATATAATAATCCATTTTAATAAAAGTTGGTATACATAGTCATTACCCATTAACATGCTAGTGAAGTAGAACTGAAACTTTAAACTTAAACAATTCTCTTGAAGACATTCACATTTATACCTCTGATATCGTTTGAAAGACTTTCTCAGCTTGAATGTGATATTGTTTTTTGTTGATTTGGGAAGCAAAATTGTTTCAGCCTGACTGTTACAAAAGCTTTATGTCTTACCTGTTATTCAATCCACTGTCTGGACTTTCCAGTAATGCTGTCATAGCTGTTACTATAACTCCACTGTGGCTTTAGCCTATAATAATTGTTGTGCTGAGTGATAGACTTGTTATTATTAATCATTAAACATGAATTTAGATGACTGCTGGGGCAAAAATCAGTGTGTTAAAAAAATCTTCAGTTTAAGCAGTCAGTCAATGAATTAAAGATTTTGAATTTACGGACCCGAAGTCCAGTTCTGAATTTATTCTACTATATATATAACTAAATTTTCTTAAAATTTACAAAGGCACGAACTAATTTACACTGGCCATGTGCCACTCACCCAGTGCTAAATTAGATGACTGAAGCAGTATTTTATTTTATAAATGTTTCATTTACATGATAAATTACAAGTAATAAATTGTATGGATTAAGCAGGAACTTTTAGAAAGTATTTGATCTTGCTTGATTTTTATAATCTGAAAATGAAGAATTATAAAACTAAACTTTATAGTTTATACCATGTAATTACAATGGTCATTTTTTGCAGGATGAATGGCCACAAAGACTAACATCAGAGGGTCCAATGGATATACAAGATGAAGGACTGTTACTGGGAAGTAAACAAGATATAGCAGAATTACTGAGAGATGCAGCTCGTATCCTTTATAATGTCGCAAAGTATTTATTTTACCGCTACTAAGTTGTCATGTCACAAAGTATTTATTTTACCACTACTAAGTTGTCATGTCACAAAGTATTTATTTTACCACTACTAAGTTGTCATGTCACAAAGTATTTATTTTATCGCTACTAAGTTGTCATGTCACAAAGTATTTATTTTACCACTACTAAGTTGTCATGTCACAAAGTATTTATTTTACCACTACTAAGTTGTCATGTCACAATTTTATCGCTACTAAGACTTTAGTTGTCTTGTCACAAAGTATTTATTTTACCACTACTAAGTTGTCATGTCACAAAGTATTTATTTTACCACTACTAAGTTGTCATGTCACAAAGTATTTTTTTTACCGCTACTAAGTTGTCATGTCGCAAGGTGTTCATTTTACCGCTACTAAGTTGGCATGTCACAAAGTATTTTTTTTACCGCTACTAAGTTGTCATGTCGCAAGGTATTTATTTTATCGCTACTAAGTTGTCATTTCGCAAAGTATTTTATCACTTCTAAGTTGCTTTAAGAGGTGCTTCCATGGTCAAGTTTAAATGTTTAGGAAAACGATAATATAAAATCTGTAGAGTGCTATTGAAATTTTAAATAACATGGACACCTGTGTTACTACACATTCTTAAAAACATTGTAAAATTGGGCTTGTTTACAGTTTTTCGGTGATAATGGCCTGTTTGTGTTGATTCACGGTATAATTATGTAAATTTCAATTTATCATTGGGTAGTGGCAATGCTTAAATTTTTTACCAAAAAACATTTTATATTTTGCAAAATACATTTAAAGTTTACTGAAAAAATAATTGAGAATATATTTCATTTCGTAATGATTTTTGTTTCTGATTACATGTATTTATTTTTGGCTGATAATTTATTAGTGTCCAATTCCTTAAAACTAAGTTCAGCAAGAAAGTTTTATGCTAAAAGTTTGTTTTTTTAGTTCTGAAATACATGAACTGTGATCTAGGATTAGATCAGTGAAGACAATGTGACTTTATAAATTATAAAATTATATAAGATCTGTAAAACTTTGCTTTCAAATATAAATAGTCACTGTTATCATAGTTATCACACTGTACATAGTGTAACTGCCTAGAATATTTATATGCTGGTAACCATAACAACTTATCTCTTACACTTGAAATGCATATTTTTACAATGTAAAACTACAGAAGAAAACCTGTAAAATTTATATTTTTACACAGAAAAAGCACTGTTAGAAGTGTCACTTTTCCTTAACCTTATTATTAGCTTTGGGATTACATTTGCTGGAAGAAATGCAGGAACGTTTAGATAACCTTGAACAAACACTGAACTACTATGCTTCTGAAATAGTGTCTGAGGGGAAACGGACATCCAGATTACAGGATAGGCTCTTTTACTCTCCCTCCAGAAGTGAGCATAACAGAATAGTATTAGATTTTTTTTGTAGAACACAAACATCTGATTGCAATTAAATGGCCAAGTTACATTGTTACATTATAATCTTTAAACATGTCCAAGAGAGGAGATAAATGTCACTTTGTAAATTTAAAGTCTAGTACAGATTAAAATAGTTTATTACATGCTTTTCGGTGGTTTATAGAAATATATCAGTGATATAAAACTGGTAATTTCACTGTTTGAAACAGTGAAATTACCACTTTGATAATTTCACTGTTTTGAATTTAAGCCCCTTACATTGTTTCAGTGAAATACCAGCGTGCACAGTACTGGGTACCAACTTAATGACGTGAGGTCGTCAATGACGTCACGTTGTATTATCATTTGGCACGCTTTTCATTCAGTGTTAGGTTAAATGTCTTTTTAAAACGATTCTTTGCATATAATAAAAAGAAAATTTGTTTTGTTTAGTGTAAGATCGGAATATATTTCACCTTGTGAACACCAAAAGTTCATATTTCACTCGTGGCTGCGCCACTCGTGAAATATACCTTTTGGTGCTCACTCGGTGAAATATATTCCGATCTTACACTGAACTAAACAAATATCCTCTATATCCTAAGAACATTGGCACTTTTTGTTCTTTCAGCATTTATGACAGAAGTGTCAGAGTCAGATGCTGTGAAATCTCACCATAGTTCAAAGGGTCACAAGAGTTTGGTAAGTGTTTTGTTTAAAATTATCTCTCATAATTCATTAAGCTAGATAATGCTATAGAATTCACATACATTTACTATTTGACAAAGGTATGATTTGTAGCTGTCACTTGATCACTAGTATTCCTTTAGTCAATAAAGATTTAGTGGGGCATCAAACCCAATCATTTGAATCCCATATTTCTTTATTTGGGATTTGAAATCCTAATTAATATATTAGTCATACAGTAAAGATAATGACTAATAGAAAAGATAATGTGTGCATGTGTGGATGGCTAGTTCAGTCAGTTTAGATTTGAAATGTGATTATGAGTGTCCTGGGATTGAGTCTCAGTCAGAATTTATATTTATTTTGTACTAATAATTTGCGCTACACACTGGAGACCATGATAGTAATATACATGTATCTCTAATAGTCAACTTGCATTGTTTTCTTTACTCATTAGAAATTCAAGGATAAATTACAATATAATTTGGATGTATGCCATACTAATCCAATGATCACTAATGAGTCAGCATATCCAGGGCTTTTTGTGAAAGGGTTGTTAGTCATTTAACATAAAAAAATAGTTACAAGCTTTTTCACTTAACTGCCAATACAGTGAAACGTGTATTAAGCGACAGCGCAAGGGAAACACCAAAAATGGTCGCTTGATGAAACGGTCTCATATTAGACAGAGCATGATAAAAAAGTCAGAATTGATACATGACTTCTTTCTTGTGCAGTCCGAATCTTTTTCAACTTCATTTATATAAATGTTTAATAATTAGAATGCTTTGATAATCTTAATGGATTCTAATATAAAAAATAATTTTCTGATCTTAATAACACAACAGTTTTTAAACAGGAATTTAAAGTGGTCGCATAAGACAAAAGTCGCTTAATTCATGTGGTCTTATAAGCAGTCAGCTTGCTCATTTGATTATGAGATCTGCACAAGGATATTGTAATGGTTAAAACGTTTAAGTCCCTTTCAGGCTGCCTTTTTCTTACCCTGTGATATAATTTATGTGCATATTTTTACAATCAAATTTCTGATTATTCATTAGTAATGGATTTATTATGATAATACACACATCTAACAATAACTTTATGAATATGATGGAACTATTTTTTGAATATACAAACTACTTACAGGAGGATATGTTCAATATGAAGGTATTTGAGTAAAGTGAAGGTATATACATGTAATTATTGTTAACATTTGTTCACAACATGTACAGATAGCTTTGTGCCTAATCTATGAATGTTTGACTTGTTGAAACAAAAGAAAAGGGAAGAAAAATGTTGTATGCTGTTGTTGTGAATTGTTTGCTTAGCTTTAATGTTTGTTCTAAACCAATTTGTTTATTTTTACCAGGAAATGCATGTATTTTTGATAATACATAATTGTATATTTAACTTTTTTTGTCCTCTAGATTTCACTTGTAAGTAATGTAGAGATTTTAAATATATGGGTTTTAAGTTTTTCTTTATACATTGTATTATATATGGGAAGTAAATCTTTAGCATATATATGAAAACTTTTTTAAAGAATTATCTCTCTTTGATTTAAGATGATAAAAATTTCAATTACGCAAAATATTATTACTAATGATTTGTCGATAAGTTATTTGTACCTTCTTTATTAATGTACATGAACAGTGGTTTAGGCCTTCTAATTATTTATAAACAGTCAGTATGTCAGTTAAGTCTACAAGCTAATGAGCCAGGATACTGTGGTGTACAAAGGGTCTTCATTATAACAGATATTCTCATAGATGAACTATTGTGTATGAGCTCCAGTTATTAAGGCTTGAAATATGGAGTATGCGAGCCAGATGTAACTATGTGACCTCCTCTTATCATATTAATGTATGGTTAAACAAAACATTTTCTGACAAATTTCTGGGCTTTCCTGTAGAAGTATATACAAATTTCACAGCATTTTTAACATTGATAGATGAATTTTGTTATACATTTTTATGATACATCTGAATTTTTCAGTTTATTTAACATAATTATTGTGAGTGTAGAATCTATGGAGTTGAACTTTTTCTAATGCCTATACTTATAATTAATACTTTAAATTGCAAAGTCATTATTCATACATGAATATGAAATATTCAGTCATTTCATTATATGTTGTCAAACTTGGATAAAAAGAAATGGTCATAAGAAATTTTTTCCTTGAATTTTTTGTTGTTGGGTGTATTATAAATGATCATAAATGTGAATTTGTTTGCTGTATTGTTGTCAAAAAAGACTTTCAATAATGTATGATGACTCAAAATACACAGTGTATAGATCAGCAAAATCTGACAACTGGTAAGACAGAAAAATACTTCTTTTTGGTGAATATCATTATTAAATGCCTTTTATTAATGGATACTCAATCACCTCATTATTATGCATGTGACCTTATATTGAAAAGGTCATCTGGAAGTAGATTATAACAGTGTTTTATAACCATTGTATTTAGTCAAGTATGGTCACCAAATTAACCAGTGGAATGGAAAAAGAAGGAGTTCGCAAAGATTTTATTGCGGTATTGTACATGCACTATGAGCTCTCTGTTTTTCATCAGCAGTTTAGATGATTTTATGCATGTTGATGGACTATTTTGATATAATGTTTTTGAAATGGTTGAGGGGTTTATAGTGTTTTTTTTATATACTTGGTATGAGATGAAATGGCACCTTTTTTTGTAAAGAGACAAATTTTATTGTTATTTTATATATTTAGTTACAGCAGATATTAGATCCATTGATTTAATAAATTTATTAAAATGCATGACATCTTAAATAAAAAAAGTTTATTTGCTTGTTTGATTTAGCAAAAATTAGAATTATATGGGTTTTTGATATTTTATTTATGTAAATGTAGATATAATAGAAACAGATATATTTTGTACTCCAAAATAATAAATTAAAAAAAGAGTTCTGGCCAGTGTGGAGATTGTGGATGAGAAAAACGGTTAAAATTAATCAATTAAGATTAAAGACAGACTATGAGATAAAACAATACATTGTTAAAAAGTGTTCTAATTACAATATATTCTATATATCTTAAGTAGTCCGAGCCTTGACACTTATGGGTCAGCACAGAAAAATGAAGTCTACCAGTTTGAACAATGTATATAAATTGTCTAAGAAATTGTTGTTTTTTTTTGCGGGCTATGGCTATTTTTATACACAAATATTTATTTGGTAAAATTTCATATCAATTTTTATGCCCCCACAGAGTTGGTGCATATAGCGTTGCACTTGTCCGCCCGAGTGTCCGTCCGTACGTCCTTCCGTCCGTCTGTCCGTACATCCCGAAATCTTGTGATAGCAACTCCTCTTAAACCGGATGGCAGATTTTGCTTAAACTTCCAGGGATGAACAACCTTAATGTGTAGATGGTAGTAAAGGAAGGAATTTTTGCTGCAACCAAATTTAACAGAATTATGGCCCTTTGTTGATTTTTTCACTATATACTCTGTAGAAATTTTGTGAATGCAACTCCTCTTAAACCAGATGGCAGATTTTGCTTAAACTTCCAGGGATGAACAACCTTAATGTGTAGATGGTAGTAAAGGAAGGAATTTTTGCTGCAACCAAATTTAACAGAATTATGGCCCTTTGTTGATTTTTTCACTATATACTCTGTAGAAATTTTGTGAACGCAACTCCTCTTAAACCGGATGGCAGATTTTGCTTTAACTTCCAGGGATGAACAACCTTAATGTGTAGATGGTAGTAAAGGAAGGAATTTTTGCTGCGACCAAATTTAACAGAATTATGGCCCTTTGTTGATTTTTAGTTTTCAACTTGTGGAACATGTAGTCCAAAAAATATTTGACCTAGAGTCATAAGATTGACAGAACAGTGGCGTGTGGGGGCATCCGTGTCCTATGGACACATTTCTAGTTGTTTTAGTGTTATACATGTATGTTATCATATAAGAGTAGATATTGAAATATTGTAGCTTTTTATATCATTGTTTGTTTGGGGCTGTGCACAGGTGAAAAGTTGGTTCTAATATTGTGTACATGTATTTTTATTCTTTTAAATTAAACTGATTTTGAATGCATGGAGAAAGTTAGGTAAAAAAAAACATTATATTGAAACAAATTATATTTAACTTAAATCTTTGTTAAACATCACCAAATTGAATTGGTTATTAAATTTATCAAATTAGTTTAATTAATACATATTATCTTATGCCAATATTTTATATTAGTTATATTTATAATTTATATCTTTTTAATGATTATAATGTTAATGTTTAAAAGAAATAATTTACATATAAAAATGTTTTGAAACTTTAATGTACATATATTATAGGACTTTGTTGACTCCCTGATGGAAACCAGAAAGAAGAGTTTAGAGTACTGTCAGTTCCCTGGTTTTAGACATGGTGAATTGATAGAGTTACCAGGGCAACTAGAATCTCCACCCATATTGCATAGAGTGACCAAAGCACAGGATTTTAATGTAAGCTACAATTTACAGATGTCAGTCGTTACATTGTTATTATGTTGTTCTTCTTTTATGGTTGTTTTAGGGCTTTTTCTTTTTGAATTTAGGAAAAACAGGAGTAAAATAAGCACACACCAACTGTCTTGTATTTTCATTTAAGTTAAAAAAAAACAACAACAAAAAACATGTATAATGTATTTTATCATTTTAACATTTGAGTTATCAAATCTGGTTTAATTGACTCTCAGTATTGTTGTTTTTGTTTACTAATTAAGGTATGATATTCTTATTTGACAGCCTGGGTTTAAGAAGTTTTGGAAGAAGTTATTTTTGTCAGAGGCCTCTGTTGCTGTGATGCAGGACACATTCTGGTGGTTCTTTCTGAATAAGTTTGATGTAAGTACATATTGACCCTTTAAATAATACTGAAGATAGTAGTAAACCTATGTCTCTAGTGCTTTTAAGTCAGACCTGAGCTTGAGCAATGTCTATACAGTCTGGTCAGATAACATGTTTTCTCATACATTATCCTGAAAAAAGATAGATTTGCAGATGACTTAGATATCTTATTTGAATAAATAAGTTCAAACTCAAAGAACATTTTACAATATTTTTATATTATCTTCGTTTTGATTTCCATTCCAAAAATTAAAGTACTCATCACAATAAATGACTTGAAAACTAATGTATTTTTCACATTGTTTGGTGTTTTATATCACATACTATCCCTCTTGTTTTGCAGACCAGTAAACAATAGACAAGAACTTGTTGTATGACAGAATTGCTGACAGTTATGTTGCTTTGTTTACAAGTATAAATGAAGATGTCAAGGATAAATTTCTAATGGTACTATATTGTTGTCTTTTGACAGTCAAAAACTTAAGCAAAACAGTAATCATCGCCCTTATTGCCTAAAGGGCAATTTAGAAGTATTAAACATTTTGGAGCACTTACCTTTATGATTAAACTTTTTTGCAGTACTTTGTCTTTGTTACGTCGGTGGTTCTACTCAGGTGCACGTTTGTGCCTGAAATAATGCATGGAAGGGCACCTGAGGTCTTCCTCCACCAGTTAAGCTGGAACATAGCTATGTGACCTATACTGTGTTGGTGTGAAGTAAAACCAAATAAAAACAAAATGATTTGCATAATCCTTTTCAACAGAAAGGATGACTTATTTAAACTAAAACATACAGCACAAGTCTTATTGTGATTAATAATACTGTAGACTTTTATTGTCACTATAATTTATTTTTCACTTAACTCCATGACCAATTGTAAAGGCCACTGACTTGAAACCAGGTGCGTCTCAGGTGTGTAGGCTATAAAGTTTGCATATAGAAAGTTAGTGATTCTACTCTTTTCTGTCTGTGCCTGTTATAATGCACAGGGGGGCATATCAGGTCTTCCTCAAGTAATACTGGAAAGTGTCAATGACCTTTTCAATAGCTGATAATAATTCAGTAATTTATCATTTTTAGGCGTATCCAGATTGTCTAGCTCAAGCAGTATTTTCAGCATACTGGGAGGCCTTCCCAGAGTCAAGGTCAAAATTTGATGATAGTTTACGACAAGACCTTATCAACACCATTAGTGAATGGACTACTGGTAAGTTCATTCAAAACTTGTATTAATTTAAAAATACATTCATACATTCATGACATCTTTATTGTATAATATAAAGTAAAAAACTGTTAAAAATGTGCTAATTAAACCAATCTTTAAATAAATATTTTATATTTGCCCATTTTATTTAAAAAATATATGAACAGTAGATATTACAGAACTGTGGTGACTACAATCTATATTATTCAGCACAAACCCACTGAAAAATATTTCAAATAATTATGTTTTTTTATGACTAGGTGTGAAGCCTGTACCAGGAACTCACAAACAATGGAAAGTACGAAGATTACAGTCTAAACCTCCTAAAGGTCTCGAGAAAGAGAACACAAAAACTGCCGAGCAGATGATGCAAGCTGCTGCACTTAATAAAAAATGTTTGTATACTGTACAAGTATCTATATATTTTTCCTTGCACTGTTGATAATTATATAAATTCTTTTGACAAGGAAGCTCTTCAACTATGTAATGAATGACAATGGTTTTAATCAGGTGTGCATTTGTGTTTGAAATAATTTATGAACATGCAACTCGTGTTTTCTCGTGTTTGAATTCTGAAATAATAGTGTCAAGAGCTGAATACCTAAGTCCATCTGTATAGTATGTCTGTAGTTGATGTCTGTTGTGTTCTAGATTAGTGAAATTAGGTAAACACAGTTTTTTTTAATAATTCATGGTAAATTAAGTCTCATGTGATAAGATGACAAAATTCATTGGAAGTCCTAGGTAACTATCTCAAATGGTTAACTTTTTTTTCTCAGTAGAATATATTTGTTTTTCTAATATTATGGACATATAGTATTAAACATATCTCTAAATTAAGTTACAACTTCAAATTTTTTTTAGTGGACTATTCACTGGATGTTGATACATTTGCGAAGATGGTAGATCGTCTAGGAACAGATCAGGTATCATATGGAGTTACTCCCCCTGGAATGACCCGTGACCTGACTAGAATGACCTATGCCTCATCACAGGTTCCAACTACAATATCTCAATCAAGACTGGCCACAGCTGGAACAGACCACAAGAAAAGACATGAGGTAAACATTTTGTTCCTATTTGACTAATTATGATAGATTATTTTATTCCATTTATAGTATAATCATAAATCAAATAGACATCATTCAGAAGGTCAGCAAGATATGCACATAATTACTTTTTCATAGTCTCATGACTAAACCTACAGCCTATTTTAACCTGTAGCTGTAATCATTTATAAAACTTTGTTTTTATTGATTTTTGTGGTGTTGTTTTTTCTCCAGATTATTTTTTTTTTCAAGTTTTTCTCAGAAAAAGCACTAGGTTTCAAGGTCACTGTTTTTTTCCTATTCACAACTAGTTATTATCATAAAGATGAAGTTTTTTAAATTTTGTGATATATTTATTAGGTTATACATGGAATAAGCTAGCCAGACATATTAGAGAAATGTTTATTGTGATGTACATGAACAAGTTTGAAACCTTGTAAATGATATCTTTACAGCAGCATGCCTATAGATGAGTGAAAATATTTCAATGAATCAAACTTGTGAAAAATGTACTAAGATTTTAGGCAAAGTAAAAAGATTCAAGTAATAATTTACATGTTTTGAGCGCTTAATGGTGAATTTTTCTGTATGTGTAACTATATTTCTACTGCATTACTAATCAGGACATTTTTTGCATATTTTGGCCGCTTTTGTTATAAATGTGGGTTGTAAGTGCCATTGATAAGAATGTAAAATGATTCCTTGTGGTTACTATACAATAATATACATGAAATTTCATTTTTAAAATTTTCATGAAAATAAGCATTAATCTGGAGGCCTGCTGCTTTAATATATTAAATACATTTTACAGTCACATCAAATTGGCCCTGGACCTACGTATGAACGAGTTAAGTTCAATACTCAAGGTCGCAGTCCTCTGATATCACATTATCTTCACCTGCGTAAACTGAAGGATCTTCATCAACCAGGGAAGAAAGTGAGACGTACAGAGATAGTTAAACTACCATCACCTGGACCAACTTACAAAGAGTTGATTCAAAATACACTAGCCATGACTGATGCTCTCAGTAAAGAATATCAGAAGTGAGTAAACTAAGTGAAAGTTAGTCAAATATGTGTTGATATTTGTTAGTCTGGTTATGTAATGTAAATAAGAATTCATATCATAATTACAGCCAATGATTTATACTGTATATCCTATACCACTGGAATGCAAAAATAATGCAGGAATTATGCCAATTTTATGAAATATATGGCAGTAACTAGTATTGAAGGTATTGAACCTGCATTACAAATATTTTTCATGATATAGGGTCTTGTGAATTAAAAGGACATGTTTTCTTGCCCATATGAGGGAGTTATTGTTGTTCATTGTGTGTTTATTATATTGGTTGTGCTGTTTGAATGATTGGTTAGTTAAACACATAAACATAGCCATGATTTATTTCCTACAAATTAACATTTTTACCATAACATATCTTAATTACACTACAATTTGTGTAAATGTCTTTGATATTGTTGCATCGATCGAATGCCATTTGATTAAGAAAATTCGTTGAAACATTTAAATCTTTTTATCACATAAACCATGGCGTAGGAGTAAAATAAAGCCATTTAATAAAAAGATATTACACTAGTGTAATAGTACTTTGACGCGACGTCATTTGTGTCCTAAACAAATATAGCATTAAAGCTAATGTTAGCGTTACACTATACGCGCATCAAGGAAAAATGATTCCTTTTAACAGTCAACCATTCTTATTTTATATATATGGTAATAAAACAGTAATATTAATATTCATAAAAATGCAATACTAAATTTCATTGAATTGTTGAATAAAACAATAAATGATCCCCAGAGGCTCGCATAATTTATGATTTTATTCAACTTGTATCAATAAATTTAGTATTAAACCTAACACTTATTGAATATCTTCTATCTATAACACAGAATATGTGATCAGACAGACCAGGAGATATATGAACTAGAGAAGAAACAGAGAGATACAAACAGAGAATTTAACAACCTTACCAAGGAACTTATGTTCACAAAAAATCCTGTTGATCTTAGAATACTTAGTGATAAAATTATTGGACTGAGGGTAAGTTTTAATCATCTGATTAGTTAACATATGTTTATTAAAAGTACAGCTTCCCATTACATAAGATGGCACATAGTTATAGTTTAAAATACTGTTAGTTTGAACATGTAGATGTTGTTGTTGTTGTCATTGTGAGAGTTAAATTAGTTAAAATATTAAGTTAAGTAGACATTGATAGAGAAATGAATAGTATTCTGTATATTTTTCAAGCATTATGTTAAGCTTTATCTTTAGCCTTTTTTATTTTTTGGAGTGGTTCATTTCAGTGATCTGAGGGAAAATTGTTAATATTTCAGAATCTTTTTTAACATTTATTTCAAAGAAGTTGAATTTTCAAAAAAAAAAAAAAAAGAACTCACAGAGATGAATACCAAAATTGTCATATAAAATATTTAATTGTTTAGAGACTCAAGGTTGAACAAAATTTGTATTAAGGTTGCTAAAATATTCATTTTTTTCTCAAAGTCTTAAAGATTAAATTTGTGTATAAAATATTAATTTCAAACATTCAAATTGAATGATTTAGGAAACTTGTAATATAAATTGAAAACTTGAATAATGGAAATTGTTCTTCATTGAGCTATCAAAGCTTATTAACATTTTATGGTTATAATTATGTAAATAAATAATACATATATTTGTAAATTAGATAGACATCTCATTGTGAAGTCATTTATTATTTGTAATGTACTCTTTGATCTTGGTAGGTTTCATACAGTTTTAGATTTTTCAAGAATAATACCATTCATTACTGTAAGAAAGCAGTATTTGCTTTGCATTTGTTTAGTTTATTAGTATAGTGAAAAATAAATTGTAATTTGTTTAATAACCTATTACTTATAACTCAAGATTGGATGTGAAATTAGTATGCATTACATTGTAAATTGATTCCTTTAAAAAATAATTTTTACTTTGAAACAAAGTGTTGTAACTTTACCTTACTTTAAAACTAAATATTTGATATAAGATGTAGAGCATGGTAGGTATAATAACCTGAGACAGATTAGTCATTTCTTACATTCTAAATGAAAAGAAAAACAAAACATTTATATTATTTTGTCTATTTAAAATCTGTCAACAAATTTAGCAATTATTTACTGTAGAATGATTTCTTGTTCTAGAAACCCATAGCTCAGGTATTTAATTTTTTCCTGTACCTTTTTTTAATTGTGTGAACCCTTCTTTCATTTCAGTTTGAACCTTTATACCCTGTCACAATGCTAGATAATACAATTTTAAATTATGATTAATGTTCCATGCTTTTTTACCTTTTGCTTTAATAATCAGTTATTATTAAAAACCTAATATTTGTAATAATTACATGCAAAATTATTCACCCAATAATTGTAATATTTACATGCAAATGTAGAAAAAAATGTTGAACATTTAAATCAATTTTTGAGGATGGTATCTAGTTAGCTTGGGGAATGTTGTTTGATATATCCTTATGCTACATGTTGCCTGGAATGATTTATGCTGGCTCAATACCATAAATATTATGTGTTAGCATTTTATTTAAACTAAACTTTACAGGACTAAAACCAAGTAAAAAAGATCATATATTGTTGCACACTATATTAAGAGTAGATGATGATGAATTGCAAAAACATATATACCAGAGCCATAAATGAAAAAAATAATATGGAAATTAAATTTACTGCTGCTTCCATATTACAAATGCATCAGAAATTATTGAAATAAGGTGTTTGTAATCAATAAAGTAGTATTAATATTTTGCAGCAACATAGTGAATATTAAGGTAATAATTCTGCACATTGTGTCTATTACATGATGTTTGGATGTTTCTTTCAACAAGAAATTTGAAAGGGAGTTAAGAAAAGTGATATATACTGGAAATGCTTAGCTTGTTCTTTCCCTTGACCTATATTTTAGAAAATTGTTGTGTGTATGCCTGCAGAATTATATGTGTTACATCAAATATTTTTGATAGAACATGGAGATTAAAAACAGCTATTTTCATGGCAAGGATGTTTTGACTTTTATTTCATTTGGGATAAGCTTTGGTGGAGAAATTGATAAATACTGGTTTAAGTTATCAAAGAAAGCATGTAAGGTGGACTGACTTCTAAGGTATGAATAGAAATGTGATAAAATTGGCATAAAAAGTAAGTTAACAAACAAACACACAAACTACAAGGTATATAGAATTATTTCATGTGAAGGAGCTATCCATGTAACCAGAAGTCAAAGATTCTACAAAGATGTGTGCTTCTGTTGAAAATAATGCAATACTTGCGCAGACATGGTTTTTTATTTGAACCAAAGCTTGAAATACACACTAAGGATGAATACTGTCAGTTTAACTAAGAATCTAACTTATATGAAACAATATAAATACTTATATTTTATAAACAACCAGGATCCAAGGTTGTAAAGAAATTTTCCATGCTCAAACTGGCATCCCAGGTTTTGATAGGACATATATAGTGCATATGCACTAACCAATGAAAATCTTGAGATTTGAGACAGCTCTAAGGAAAAATGTTTTAGGGGCTTAGCTAAAAGTTTATGAAACCTTTCCTGATATCAAGCGGAATATCAGGATATTTATTAGTCAATTCACATTCTGTGCCGGGGGCGTCTGTGGCTGAGTGGTTAAGGTTGTTGACTTCAAACCACTTGCCCCTCACCGCTGTAGGTTCTAATACGGCAGGGACTTTGGATTCTTTCATGTGAGGAACCTATCCAGCTAGCTTACAGAACGTCGGTACGGAACGTCGGTGGTTCTACTCAGGTGTATGTTCGTACTTGAAATAATACAGTCAGAAGGGCACCTGAGGCCTTCCTCCACCAGTAAAGCTGGAATGTTGCCGTATGACCTATAATGTGTCGATGTGAAGTAAAACCCAATTAAACAATATACATTATGTGCCTGTTTCTAACCAATCAAATACCTGAGATCTGAGTTTGGGATAAGAACATTTCTTTATAACCTTTGACTTAATCACTCCATCATTTTCACTTTTCACTAAATTTGCTGTTTTCACTGTCACAGCTTGTCAGTGTATTATATTGCTTCTTATCTCACAGCACAAGATGGTAACCCCAATGGTAAACTTTTATCTGTCTGTCTGTGTGTATGTATGTTTTTAATATGTTAATACATGTAAAATTTTATATTGGTTCAAGTCAGAAATGTGTAAAAATTATAACATATAATACATTTTTTTTTTTTTTACTTTAAAGAATGTATTGAGGCATTTGAAATAGAGTAGACTAATTTAGAGTTACTTAGTTCAACATTAAAAAGGATAAAATTCATGTTGGTTTTATGTCTTATATGATATTAATAAAGTTTTTTCTTCTTCTTACATTTCTCCATTGTTGAAACTAATCTTAAACAATATTGAATTATTTAATATGAGTTGCATCATTCTTTTTACTTCCTATTTCAGACTGAAATTTGGCAATAAAGTTGTTTTGATACTTATAAATAATGCATGAAGCTTTTAATTCAGTTTTAAGTACAATTATTAGCCATAACCTTGTGTGTGATTAAGTAGATGTAACAATAGCTGGGGGTTTTGCAAAGTGTAAAATTATGAGATTGGTTATATAATGCTTTACTTTTATAGAATATCTTTAGTTAATTCTTAATTTACTTATTACCTTATTAATTATATTAATTCATTGTGAATCAGTCTATTTATGTCATTTTAAATCCTGTTTATAATTTTTTGTCTTCTCAAGCTGAAAGAAATAGAGGATATTCAAGTTTCTTTTATAAATTATACAGGATTTATTTTCCTCGAGTGGTATGAAAATAAATATATCATGAGTGGCAGTAAGCCACTCATGAAATATGATAATTTTCATACTGCAAGACAACAATGAAAATATGGAAAATATGTTTCACTGCAGTGAAGAATTAATTTTACACTGAAAATACGAAAAAATAAAAATACACATTTTATTTCATAAAAAAACCCAAAAAACAACACATTTTATTTCATCAATATTTCATTTATAATAATAATAATAAAGGTGAATATTGAAAAAGCTTTGTATTTTCGTCCAGTTGTTAATGGGCTCTATTCAGTTCATAATATTATAGTTTAGAAAAAAAGAAGGAAATCATATAAATTATTGGCTTAAATAGAAATTTTCACTTAAAAATCAAAGTAAAAGGTATATAAACCTCAAATGTTGGTATGTCTATATCTGAAAATCACTTTCTGCAATATTTTAGGAGATTTTGCAGAATGTTTATATGAATAGGAATTTGAGGATTAATCAAATGAGCCGCGTCACGACAAAACCATCATAATGCATTTGCGACCAGCATGGATCCAGACCAGCCTGCGCATCGGCGCAGTCTGATCAGGATCCATGCTGTTTGCTTACAAACTCTATAACAAGTAGAGAAACTCAGATAGCTAACAGCATAGATCCTGATCAGACGGTGAGGATGGTCTGAATCCATGTTGGTTTTGTCATGACGTGGCTCAAATTTCTAAATGCATTAGAGGTTTTTGTATTTTTACCTTATGCTATTTGAATTGTAATGAAAGTCAGCATGCATGTTTATTGTAACAAGGACATGATGCTTGTTAAATGTTATCAAAGTCTGATTGTGCAGTTTTGAAGTTTTTAGGTAGACATATAGCTATCTTTTGTGAATTTGAAATAGGCATTTTTAAGAAATGATTAAGCCTCATTACTGATATACTAAATTTTGACATTTCTTAGTATGAATGTGTATTTCAGTGATTTACAACAAATTTCATTGAAGTTTTGTCTATTGTCCTGTTGACATTGTTTACTGATATAATGTAAGTTACCCTGAACAAACATGTCTCAGAATCTAGCTTTGGCACGTAGATATATTTTGACTAGTTAGTCAAACTGCTGCTTATTCGTACTGTAATTGTTATAGCTTGTTTGTATTGAAATAAACATATCTAAATGAATATGTTTCATCATTCATAAGCTTGTGTATTAAACACTTTAGTGTCAAATTCATGGTTGATTTCGTGCTGCAGTATATATAAGACCATGGTTATTAGAATTAATGTCATAACTTGTGTTAACATTTTAATTACAGGAGAAGGATAGAGAGACACCTTTACTGAAGGAAGACAAGACACACCCACAAACACAGGAAAATGATGAAAGTGATGATGATTTTGATGGCACTGATGATGATCAAGATGTGTAGATAATCATCATGGTAATAATTAAAGTGAATATGATGCTACAGAGCCATGATGATGCTGATTTCAGTAGAGTGTGATGGCATTATTATACCTTAAAGTTTTTAAAACCAAAAAAAGTACATGTATTTGATAAAGATAAAAAATGTTGCTCTGAGACTGAATTTATAAAAGAAAATTATATCATAGATGTTAAAATATCTCTCCTTCACCCTTTTCTGTATTTAAGCTCATTTTTCATTGATTATTTTGTCAGAATAAAAGTTTCTTGGTTTGTTGTTGGCATATGTAAGATATTCTAGATGTTGTTGTCTGAATTTGTTTAATGTTGTTTTACTGCATAGTACCACATAAGCAAACCAACTAGAGTGAAGAGTACAAAGTTAATTTTAAACAGCATTTTTCATGAACTGAACCTCATATCTTTAAGAAAACTTAGTTCACTTAATATATAATACAAGAAAGTTCTTTTGCACATTTTGTTTTGCATCTAATAATTCAAATCCCTGTCTGAAAAGGAAGATATCTACCATGATAATCCTATTTTGAAAATAACTCCATACATAATTTACTTGCTTTTCCTGGCAATGTAATTATACAAATATATATGTTGTTATGTGTCTACTGGTAGTTGTCAAAAATAGTACAATGTATAGATAAAATGTGCTTACTGTGCAAATATTACTGTCTAGCCAGATCTAGCTGTGAGATTTTGATTTATCCAGGGAAATATAGATGTTTCATATATATAGCGGTTTGGGATTGGTAAACAGTCGTAAGAAATTGGATGCTTTAATTTGTATCCCATCTCCCCATAAAACATACATCAAGATGCCTTATAAGTAGCAATAAATGTTTTTGCATGGAGACCTGTCTAATGAAATACATTTTATGGCTATGAAGCAGAATTTAGCGAGAGACATTTAGATAACTTCAAGATCCATGCCTTATTTGATTACTGTGTCTATATTTATTGAGCTTCTGTATATTCATTATGTGCATTGTTTTCTTGTATCAGTTTATAACAAGTCAAACAAGCATCATTTTTTCCTTGTCCAAAAAAACTATTTTTTTTCAATTTCTGTTTCTGTATAACTACATAATAAATGTGTACACCTTGACTTACATTTAGATAATATGTTCTTCATTTGTAAATACTGACAAATGGAATTGCTTAAATATGCACACAAAATAAACTGTGAATATTCTTCTAAAATTGAACCTTGTTTTTGGTACATGAAATGCTTTCACATTTTATAAAAAAAGGAAACTTTTGCAATATTTAGCATATTTTTATTGATTTGTAGTTAAACATATTTATAACACTGATTTAACTTTATATTAAAGTAATATTTGTTTGACTGTAATAAAATGTCTGTGATATTTTTTTTAAATAAAGATAGTTGTCAATATTTTAGTTGTTCTGAGTCC